GTGTGGCTGGCAGGTTAAAGCCCGCGGCTCCTCCTCCTCCGTGGCAGGTCTTCCCGGGCAGTGGGGGTGAGCAGTCCATCTCTCCGTGCGGCCGGCAGGTTAAAGCCCGTGGCTCCTCCTCCTCCGTGGTAGGTCTTCCCCGGCGGTGGGGATGAGCAGTCCGTCTCTCCGTGCGGCTGGCGGGTTAAAGCCCGTGGCTCCTCCTCCTCCACACCGCTCCCCCTGAGCAGCACAGCCCTCAACTGCGCCGGGGGGGCGGTGGAGCGCGTGCTGGCCATGTGGTGCAGGCGGGCCGGCAGTGTCCCGGGTGTCGGGCACACACACATTCACTCAGTAAGACGCACAGACATTCCTCCTTCCTTCTGAGGGGGAAAAAGGTGCATCTTATAGAGCGAAAAATACAGTAACTAAAATGATCAAGGAGCTAGAGCAGGTCCATTATGAAGAAAGGTTACATCATCTGGAATTGTTTAATTGTTGCTTAAAAACAGAGAGTAAGGGAGACATGATAGAGGTGTTCAAAATTGTGCATAGTGTGGAAGAAGTTGATAGGGGAATAATACTCTTGTAATCCTAGTACCCAGCATCATTTCATGAAGCTGATAGATGGGAATTTCAAAGAAGTACTTCTAAATACAACACATAGTTGCTGTAGAATTTATAGGTGATGACAACCTTTGTGACCCGCCCCGAGGCTTCTGCGATGGGTGTGACATAGAAATGTTATAAATAAATAAATAAATAAATAAATTTGTTGTTGTTGTTGTGTGCCATCAAGCCATCTCTGACTTATGGCAACCTTATGAATTACGTCTTTAAAAGGGGATTAAACAAATTCATGGAAGAGTGTGAAGTGGCTGTATGCCGCATCCAGCCACACTATTAGTGTCTGATGGCTGTATGCCGCATCCAGTCTCATACAGAGTCTCCTGGTGTAGACCAATTGCTAGAGGACATGGACAGAAGGATGCTGTGCATTCATGTCCTGCTTATGGCTTTCCCATGGGCCATTGTAAAAGAGAATGGATGACTAGATGGACTTAGTATGACCCAGCATGCCTCTTCTTAAGTTCTTATCAATGACTTCAAGGTAGCTTACAATAATTCAGGCAATTAGCACAAAAATAAATACTTGAAAAGTGTCATAAAAGAAAGCTAGAATGGGTGGGATAGCATCAAAACATTTTTACTAAACTCACTCAGATTAGGATTTTGGCAAATTACTTAATATGTGAGCAACTAACATTTTCACACCTTTTATTGACCAATATAAGGGAAGCATGATGAGTAATATCTAGAAAGATACTCATCATCATTACCGAAAACCTTCACTAATCCCTATAAATTCTTAGAAAGTCTTGGTCTGTTAAGGTTTTGGTGTATATGGTATATCTGTCACTAGGGGGCACTGGAGGTACAGATAGCTTGCTGTTCCAGAAATACTTAAAACATGCTTGTTTGAGACAATTATTCCTATCTGTAGTATAACTTTCAGTAAACTGGTTGTTTTGTTGCTGTTATAAAATTACCTCCATATCTACATTTCATGTCGAATTATTTTGGCCTTAGCTGTGTTACTTATACTTCTCAGGGGCATAAACATGCATTTTATACATCCCTTTGTTATTAATTCTAGTTGCAGTTAATATTCCCTGTTATACTTTTAACCTAAAACATAAAAACTGTTGGAGAAAGGTAGTGGAGATGCTGCAACCCCTCCTGGCTGATGAGTTAATTTGTATTAAAATCCTAAGAGGGAGCTTATATTTTCCTTAAACAAAATTGTTCCTTCTAATACTGAACTTGTCCATTAAGTATGACAAAGACTTTGGCCAACAAGGGCCTACTGAGAAACAAGAGAGAGGTGTGCTTGACAGTAATCCAACATTTGCATAAATACAACAAATATTTATGAAATAGAAATAGAATGAGTGTCCCATCCCCACCCAAAGAAGGAATGAGGATCAAGTGAGCAGGGAATGCAGATTGTTTTTTGCGGGATGAAAATAAAACAGGAGGAATGGAAGGGGATGGGATAAAGGTGGCCTGTCACCATGTTTCTATTGCAGTTATTTATTTATTTATTTCATTTTAATATCTTCCAGTAGCCCAAGGCTTTCTGGACAGAGAACAAAAGTTAAAAACATATAAACAAAGAGAATAACATGAAACAGTAAAATCATAGCTGTTGCACTCAGGTCAGTACGGAGGTATAGCAGTAGTACACAAAATACAGTATAAAAACTAGGATTAAAAATTAACTATTAAAATATAATTGGCAAATGAAAAGCTTTTCACCTAGTGCCAAAAAGAGTAGAGAGTAGGTGCCAGGCACACCTTTTTGAGGAACTTGTTCTAGAGCTGGGGTCACAACCAAAAAGGCTCTTCACCTGGTAGCCACCCTCTTTACTTCATTTAACATTGAATGGCTTGGGGCCAGGTTATCTGAAGGCATACCTTGTCCCTTATGAACCTGCTCAGATGATAAACTCATGCTTGGGAAAACTAGCAATAAAAACAGTGAGAGATGTAGGCTTCTCCTGAAAGTTCCCCCAAATTAGGCCAAAAACTTTGCAATACTTTTTACCTAGCTTCTTATCTCATGCACAGCTCTTTATGCATGCTGAAATTAATAAATTTACAGTTTTAGGTACTGTTATTAGCCTTTCCCCTTAAAAATAAAATGTATGCTATTGAACTAATCAGAGTTAAAATGTAAAAAATACTTAATATTTGTAATATATAAAATATGTAATATTGTAATAAAACTAAAAGTTTGAATTTATTTGAATATTTAAATCACATCAGGTGAATTCAAACAAGAAGATGAACTCGAATACAGCACCTCAGATACTTTTGGGTATTGTGAAATTTTGCTGTATGTATATAGCATGAAACATTGATATGATGTATTTTCCAGAAAACCCACTGTATACATATGTGTGCACAACTGTTCTGTTTATCTTTAGGTGCATGTGAAGGAACACTTGCATGCTCTACTTGTCACTTAATCTTTGAAGATCATATATTTGAAAAATTAGATGCAATCACTGATGAGGAAATGGATATGCTGGACCTTGCCTATGGGTTGACAAATAGGTAGGTAGAATCAGTTTAAAACCTGTCACAGGATCTTGCCAGTATCACTCTTGAAACTGCTGCTTAGGTTCTACTAAATAAATGATATCTGTTAGAAGCCACAGCAGAGCTGTCCTTACAATAAGGAAAAGGCTGGAAACTTTTGCTTCAGTTTATAACTGCTGTTTTCCATCTTTGTATGAACCCAGCAAACTGGTTAATTTTATAAATTGGGTATAAAGTTGGATTGTTTCTATAAGCCATTGTTAAGATTAACTGCTGATTAACTAGTTTAGGGTTGAAGTGTAGCCCTAAACCGCCTTTGGTCTGAAGGATGATATATAAATAATAAATGGTTGGTAGGCTGGTTTTCTGTGTGATGAGTGATACCCTGTTCTGGATGGGGCTGCACTGCCCCTAAGGGATGGGGTGCATAGTTTGGGAGTGCTCCTTGACCCAGACCTATCCTTGTAATCTCAGGTGGCTCCTGTGCCAAGGAACGCTTTCCACCTGCTTCAGCAGAGCCTAGCAATGGTAATCCATGCTCTGGTAACCTCCCTCTTGGACTGTTATGATGTGCTCTATGTGGGACTACCCTTGAAAATGATGGACATTTTTCAGTTGATACAGAATAGAGCAGCTAGGTACTCTTAGAACACGGGAAATTTTGACTTTACCAAGCTACCCTCTTAATCAGCCTTAGCTGCAATATGGAGATAATAGTGACCGATACAACAGAGGAATGCAGGTGGCACAGTGGTTTAAACTGCTGTGCTACTGGGCTGGTTGATCGAAAGGTCACTGGTTCGAATCTGCACATAGCAGTGAGTTCCCATTGCTCTGTCCCAACTCCTGCCAACTTTGCAGTTTGAAAGCATACAAATGCAAGTAGATAAAAGGGTACCACTTCGGTGAGAAGGTAACAGTGTTCCATGCACTTCGGTGTTTAGTCATGACCACGGAAAATGTCTGCGGACAAACACTGGCTCCCTCGGCTAGGAAACGGAAATGGGCACTGCCTCCTAGAGTCAGACATGACGACTTTAATGTCAAGGGGAAACCTTTACCTTTATACTACATATTGTGTGTAAGAATCACAACAATCCACTGTATGTAAAATGTATTGATTTTTCAATACATTTTGATTTTTCAATACTAAAGCTATTTTTATGTGGTTTTATGTTTATTTGAGCATGAGATATACTTTTTCCTCCCTTTTTTTATCCTTTGGTCTAATGTTTAATTTATTCTTCCCCCAGTGATCCTAACAAAAAATACAATTACATCTATGTGTTCTTACAAGTTGCTTTCTCCACCATCCTGTAGATCTCGATTGGGTTGTCAAATCTGCTTGAAGAAATCTATGGAAGGTATGACTGTCAAAGTGCCTGAAGCTGTTGCTGATGCTCGACAGACCATGGATATGAGCAAGACCTCTTAAAATATGGCCTTTAGAGTGTGTGTTGTGGCATTAAAAACATTTTTATAATTTATTTTTAGATGTTTAATGAAATATGGTAAGATAAACATGCATTCTATGATTATCAATATTAAGTTATCATGAATTACTTTATGTTTATATTTTATGATTCTAAAATCAGAAAATAGAGGATTATAGAATGCTAGACACACAGTATGGTAAGAAAGCAGCTATTTTTCTCACAAACACTTTTATTTCTTTGCATTAGTGATTAGTGATTATTAAAAAATAGCTTTCAGATCCCTAGGGAATATTCCCTAGGGCATAATGATTTTACTTCACTATACTGGATGCCGGGTTCAAGATACATGATAGCTGGAGTCTCATTTTTTGAATTATCATCTCCTGGAGCACTGTAAGTATGTTATCAGAGTGTAAGTTTCTTCTCAGCTGAAAGGATGGTGATGTTACACAGACATCATTTGCATTATTATAAACATTTGTTAGAGTCTTAGGAAATGTGAAGGTCAGAAGATGGTGCAACATAGCTATGGTTTGGAAATAGAGGTCTTGATCTAGAATATGCGTTACTGCAAATACATATGTATGTTTTTCACTTGGTCTTACGATCAAGCATGCACAGATTTGTTTTTTGAGTAGTTGATAAAATCAATTCTGGTCATAAATTTAACTTTTGAAAATTTTAGGTACTTTAAACATTGCAATTATGTGTCTAATTCTATTAATCCCAATTCATGGGATTTAGATAACTACATGTTGTGTTCGGAAAGAACAGCAGGGTAATTTTGAGATATATTTATTGGAAGCAAATATTTCAGCTTCCAGCCTTATCAGTAGCTGTTTTGTTAAATGTTGTCAGTCTATGTATATTTCTTAGGGAGCAATCCCATGGCGCCTGGTCAACATCTGAGCAGCCATAGGATACTTTGGATTCCCAGATCTTCTCCCTTTTCCAGCTGCCTTAAGAAAAAATGCCCTAGGAGATCCCTAGGATCAGAAAAGTAACCTCAGAGGGATAAAAAGGGACTGGGGGTGGGGCAGAGACTGATGAGACAAGTGCTTCCACAGCCTCCTTCCTTTCATTCTGATATCCTTTTGCTAGTTGTGCAAAAAAGGCCTTTTAGCAAAAATGCAGGATAGTGAGGTGAACATTGCCTGTATCATTCTTCCTGCCTGCATATAATGCTTGTAAACCTCCAGCTTTGGGAGCTTATGATCCTCATAATAGGTTTGTGACCCTGGTATACTTTCATTTAAAACTGACAAAAGGCTCCTTATTGCTTTGCTATTGTGTGCTTTACACCTACCTGTCTTTCTTCCTCTTTTATATAAAAACACAATATATGTAGCATTTACAATTATTTTGACCAGGTGATTTGTACAAAGGTTAATTTGCAGCTCTGTTTTTAGTGTCTCATTACATTGTTGCCTTATTCCCAAAGTTTCACTGAGAGGGAGCCATTCACTCTATTAAGCTTCTCCTCTATAGGCAAATTAAAACAGCAATAAAGTCATCACAGCTTAACAATTTGAACCTGAAAAAATGAAAAGGTCTTTATCTAGCAACAGAAAGATAGCAAAGTAAGTGTCAGGTGAGCTTCTCCGGGACAACAGAACTGAGAAAGCCCTCTACCTAATTGCCACCCGCTACGCTTCTGATGGCAAGGGTGCTCAGGGAAGGGGAGAACCTTGAATTATAAATTCAGCACTCAAAGAAGCTAATTTGAAGCTAAGTTTTCCTTCAAGTATTTGGTCCTAAGCCATGCAGGAATCAATACTTGTATATTGATTGGTTGGTTTTCCTTGATCTTCCCTGATTCATAATGCTAATATGAGCAGGACTTAATGTGACCCTTAAATCTATATGTTATTCAATTTTATAGTATAATATCTATATGTAAAAACACTATTAGCTAAGAAAATGAAATGAACAAAGAAAAGATTATTTTAAAAGGTACATATATTTACTGTCTTCTACCATTGGTCTATGAAAACAATATGGTCACATGGTCATGAAAATGAACCAGATTTATCCTGCTCTGCTTCTCTCATTTTAAGAATTCATATAGATTGATGGCATAGGAAAAATAGCACTGTTCAAGTTGCTTTGGATTCTATTGATGTTCATGGAGTCGTCATTTTATTTTCTTACATGGGCCAAAATAAGATGCATGTTTGTAATATGAAGACTTGATCCTGAAGTATCTTGCCATAATATCAAACAAATGTGGTTGTGAAATGAGAAATGGAACATACATTAGTTTGGTGAAGAGAATTTCTGAGGTAGCACTTGAATGAAGGCTACCTCCACTTCCTTTAAAAACAAAGGAATTTAGTTACAAGAATTAATCTTCATAGCTAGGCAGAAATATATCAATGTTTCCTTTCAGACCAATGGTTATCCTGTAAATCAGGGGTGGGCAATTAATTTTCCTATGGGACCACATGAGAAACTTTGAAAGTTGTTAAGGGCCGGACCAATACACTTACAGCTCTGCTCAATATATATCTCTATAAAAACAGTAAATGAAACATTACAATGATACAATGAAAATGTGGAGCACAGAACAACACTATTTAATGAATATTCACAAAAACATTACATGAAAAGCAATAAATTCAATTCATTTTAGCAGATCCTTCAAAATAAAAGCAGTGCAGTTGTATTGTTTGCATCTATATTACGACAATATATATTTGCATTGACTTTTAATTTGCCAGTGACCTCATGCGGGCCAGTCAGGGTCAGCCATCGGGCCGGATGTGGCCCGCGGGCCGTACAATGCCCAGGTCTGCTGTAAATGTTAGGTATCAAGTTTCTAATAGAAGTTCAGATGTACATATCTCTTAAATATTTTTAAAATCTTGAAATAAATAATTTTCTATTATTTTTCTAAGTTTATTCTTTGTGAGCAGGATGTGAGTTAACTAATAATGTACATTAGCAGTTAATTGAATACATTGTCCAGGAGAAAGTTTTGAGAACTTAAGTGTAGAAGGTTCAGGTAAGGGAAGCATTCCACATAGTAGGGTTTTTAGTTTTTTAGGAAATTCACTGAAAACTACTTTTTAGGTATTGCTTCAAAAGTTGTGAGAAAATAGGAAGGCATATTCATAATTTCACATTATTTTGGTCTGAAAGTCCACTTTCAAGAATCTCTTTCTTGGTCATTCACCATGGTAAGATTCCATCATCATATATGTAGTGCTGTGATATTTTGCCTGAATTAGCATCACTTTACTCTTGCTTTACACAACTGCGTGTGCCATTTTGTTGTCCATTCTCCCTATCTTGAGAGATCCCTTTGGAACTCCTTGTTATCCTGTTTTTGTTTTAACCACCCTAAATAATTTGATTTTATCAGCAAGCTTGTCCACTTCACTGCTCTAATTCAATTATGAACAATCGAAAAGGATTGGTTCCAATATAAATCCCTGTGGGTCTTCACGGTTCATATCACGCCACTGGAAGAATTTTCCATGTATTCCTACCCCCTGCTTTCTTTTTGTTCTTTAACCAATTACTAATCTGTCAGAAGATACTTTCTTTTATTCCATGGATGCTAAATTTGGTCAGGATTCTTTTCTAAGGACTACTTTGGAAGTCCAAGTAACCTATGTCTATCAGATCACCTTATTTGATACTTTCAAATAGCTTCAAACATGTATTGAGGCATGATTGACTTTGCAGATGCCCTGCTGATTCTTTTTCAGCAGGGCTTCTTCTAAATTTGTATTAATTTTAATCTTTAATAATGCTTTCAGTTAATTTACCTGGAACAATTTACCTCAGTGAGCTCTATTCATAGATTACTCCTGTGTTCTGTTTGCTTTTTCTGCCTTTGCAAAAATAGTTGTGAACTATTTTTAAAAGGGTTTGAGAGTATCGTGTAATGTGTAGCAACTCTACGCATCTGGCTTTAATAGAGAAGTCAAAATGCATTCCTGGACTCTGGGCCATGTTTTGAATTTCTTCTATCAACTTTGGGTTTCAACTGCAAGAGAAGTTCACTAATAGATTCAAGAGTCCAGATCACAGTTTAGAACATTTTCCATCGTTGATATTTTTACCAGCATCACATGGGAGGTCAGGCATTCTTTTTTTCATGTTTGATTACTGTATGTACTGTGATTATTATATGGAATGTGCACAGCTACATCATCCATCAAATTTTCTACACTCTGGCTATTGCCAGGGTTAGTCCATACAATTTTAGCAGGAATGAGATGCTGCATTGGGATTGATTGGCCTTAGGAGCAATTCCATTAGAATAAATGTTAAAATCTGGTATCCAAACAAAGACTATTATTTTTCCCAATTCTGTTACTGCAAGCCAAGTCTACATCATCAGACATTGCATATCAGAATCAATATGAGTTGCTTCTTCAATGGATCCATGCATGCTAACTTAATTATTTCCTCTGCCTTGGAAATCTGAAATTGTATGTTGAAATAAATTGTCACAAGGCCCACACTTGTTGAAACATTACAGATAAAGTATGCTGGAAAAGCAGTGTGGTATGTTAAAATACAGTTATGTTAATCAGCTGTGAAACTTGGCCTACAGCTAGTTTGTGTAGTTGCTTTTGATGGCATGTAGATCAGAGCTTCCTGAGGGCTAGGGAAGCCTTGAATTACAACTTGGAATATTCCTGACCATTGGCTATGGCAGCTGGGTCTGTGGAGAGCTGAAGTCTAAAATAACTGGAGGACACTAATTTGTGGAAGGCTGGGCTAGAATACATGTGCTTAAGAGACAACTAATATACATCTGGGGCTTTGCTACTTTGGAATGTAGGTGAAAAATAACATACATGAATGCTTCCTCTTTATAAAAGTTTCTGCTCAGGAAGCTGTAATGGGTTGAGAAGAAATGCTGAAGCTTAAGTTATGAAGTGCTAGTTTTCTGTGTGCAGAGGCATTTTATATAGAGTGGAGGGATTACTCAAGTATCATCCCTGGTACTATTTCTGCTGATCAGCATGTGAATTTATGTAGCCAGAGGAACACTGTTAGAGGAGGACATCTGCAGGATTGCGGAAGTATCAAAAATCATTAAGAAAAACCTCCTAGGATCAGTCAACCTCAAAGCAGCCTGAGGAGGGAAAAGTGTGCTCATTGTCTATGAAATGCTGACTGAGAGATGCAGGAGATGGGTGGGTGGGGGGAACACACAGGTGCAGGGTGGTAAAGGAATGGGATGGCTGGAATCCTGAACAGTAGCAATGCACATTTCATACAGGGTCTCACTGCCTATTCTATAAAGTTGAAATGGAAGAAAAGCTTGGTTTCCTTGCAAGAGGAAGAAAAGTATAAATGATAACAATTGGGGATCTGTGCCACATATGCTTATTGGACAAAATGCATCACGAGACTACAGATGTTTGCTTTCTTTCGGCTTCGTTCCAGTTCTTACCATTATACAGCATTTTCAGGAAGGGAACATTATGGTGGCTGCAAATATCACCTCCCCCCCCAACCCAAAAAAACCCCTGACACTTTGGAAACACCATACCTTCCAAAGTGTTACACATGAGATACATACAGACTGATCAGTTGGTTAGTTCATACTCTACTAAATGAATCAGTATAAACTGAGACCATAAAGATGTGACTTTCAGACTATTTTATAGTTTATTTTTCTGATTTATACAATTTCCTGGCAATGTCCTTATTCAGATGATCTAATATTCTACTCATTATGGCAATGAATTAAAAATAAACACAATAATGGGCTTTAAACATTTCAGTTTCAGTTATAAGCAAGGAGGGAAAGCCCTCCTGAAGAGGATGATAGCCACTTCTTGCCAGATGATCTCTCTAGGCACAAATAGACCTTAAGCCTAATTGCAACTCAATAAACTTCTGATGGAGCCAAGAACCTGCAACAGAACTTACCTGGGTGATTGTAGGTTATGGAAAGGAACTTTGGGGAGATGGTGGTTTCCTTATTATCACATATCCTACCTTCATTTCAATGATCATGTAACCTAATGTAAAAACAGTTTCTAAGTGGTCTCTCATCCAGGTTTGCATGTTCAGCAAGTTTACTGCCTTATGTGCCTTCAAATCATGACTTAGGACTGGGATTCTTTCTGATAATGTAGGCTAAGTTTATCTAGGATCTTATCTGAGTTTGTCAGGCATGCTAGCTAGCTAATCCATTTACCTATATGGCAAGTAGGGTAAGTGCTTGTTTTGTTTGCTTATTGAGTCTTCCCTTTTGAGTCTTTGCCATATCTGCTTTATGCTGAGAGCCAGTGTGGTGTAGTGGTTAAGAGCATGGGACTGGGACTCAGAGGATCTGGGTTCGAGTCCCTGCTCAGCCATGGAGCCAACTGGGTGACTTTGGGCCAGTCACAGACT